GTAATTTTTCTGTTGGCGCTGGGATCTGTTGGAATTTTGCGGCCGGGAGGCACGTAAAAATGAGAAATTTTTCAAACGAATGGTAATAATCGTGGTTATCTCTGTGCTAGAGTCTTTGATTTGCAGTTGCAAAAGCGGGGCGGATTAATGAATATTGTCCAGAAATTAACACGAAAGCGTGTGTGCAATGCGAAACCAAAATTTTTCACGTAGAGCTTTGCATTTTAGTGCACCGAGACACGCCTCTTTGTTAATTTAATTGATTAATTTCCTTATTGCAAGTATCCATCTAAATTATATTGCTGAAATAATAGTGTGAAGGGTATCTAAATATATATAATTTCATATTTTTCATATCAAGTTTGACTTCGTGCTTATTTTTCTCCACTTTTTGCTGCCAAGCTGTGTTATTTGATATTTTTATCGTGTTTTTTTTTGGTTATTTTTAGTGTTTTTTTCGGCCGGCAATATACTGGTCACTTTTTGTTGTTAGTGTTGCCGTATAATTTAAAATTAATGTAAATATAATTATATTACGACTTTAACTCTAATAGAATAGTAATTCTTAATTGACTTACGAAATTTATAAACATATGTTATAACGTATACTATAGCATATTAGATAAGTTACAACACCCCTAGAGGCGTCTCAGTGTTTTGTTTTGCCAGAAGCTTCGATTTTAATATATCCGTGATTTGGCTAATATCCCCTCAGAGTGTTGAAAATGGTTGTGCTGTATGATTATCATCGAAATCTTCGTTCACTTTGCACTAAAGTAATTCTTAGGTGGACGTGTGTTTTCCCATATATAACTTCCTCCTACCATTGTTGACATCCAATACTGCTGAAGTTGTTTTTTTTAACCATTTTTCTCAACATCGACAATGAGACTTCATCTGATTTACCATCACTTTTACTAAACTCTTTGTTGTCTTCTAAATGTTTTCGCGTGATTTTCATGTAATTATTCAATGACCTGGTTTCCATAATGTTCCATAGTCTTACAATGCTTCTCATGCATTTCACGCTTAGATGAACGACTCTTTACGGAAAATATTCCAAAAATTTATGCCGCTGCTTGTTGCCTTAATATGCGGATTCGGTGAGTATTCGCTCACTACCCGTACCGAACCGGGTTTGAACTTCGTTTTCGACTTCCCATAAAGTTAAGGTTAAAAGGGGAACTACCATAATGCTGGGTCTTTCGAGGTATTTTGTGTATTAATATCTAAAAAGAGTGGGTATTAACATTCGATACATAAAAATTTTAAGTGGTCCCATATAATCTACCCAAGCAAAAAGTTCTTGATAGAAACAAAAGTAGTTTTAAGACAAATCACCTAGTTGAAGGAAAGAAAGCGGCTGTTGCTTTAGCTCGCAAGTTCTTTCAGACTGACGTTAACCTTAAATAATCAGATTACGGTTAACTACAGCCCCTGAAGTTAAAAAAAAAAAACTAGAAACGTATTTGCGATAAATCGACACTCCATTAAAAAAAATATTATAAACGATTGTTTATTTATTTACTTTCACTTAATCTGGCACCCCCCCAAACTACTCTTATGTTACAACCATATCAGCTTCGCGCACAACTTTTCCAACTGGTTTAAAATATTTATTTATCTCAATCTCCTGGAATTTATGTGCGCATTTATGCAATTTCTCGTATTTCAAACAAGCTCAACGATTTCATTTTCATTTTCGCGCATATATTTTATTCCCGAAGCTTACTAGCGCATTTCGCATGCAACTGCAGCGGCGTGTGTCCTGCTAATCGCAGCAGTTAGCTCGCAGTAGGCACCCGATTGCTGTTGGTTTGGTGGTGCACAGTGGCACGTGGGTGGTACACCGTTTGATTGGTTGCTCGAGTTAATTTGCACGTAAAATGTATAGCACAAGATCATAATCGGCCGTCTAAACGTGAAGCACGTTAAACATAAGTAGATTGGGAAAATATAGCTCACTTTTACCCACTACTTACACCCCTGGTTGGTTGTGGATGAGCGCTTAAGGCGCAACGCTTATTCAGTTTAATCAGTGTATTCGCTTGCTGTTGTTGCTGTTCTGCTGTTGTTGCCTACAAATTGATTAATGAGTTCGCGATTACTCGGTACAAGCAAAAAGTCAAACGATTACCTAAAATGAAAAACATTTCACAATGTAATCCAATACTCCTGCAATTGCAATTACGCCTGCATTTGTGCGCTAAATCATTTTCACTATTAATCGTGGCGCTGTTGTTGTTGTAGCTACTGGTCGGCTTCATATAGCTTGTGTGTAAAAAAAGCTAACTTTGTAATTTTTTTTTTTAATTTGAAATTTTATTTTTGTTTACTATTTTTATTATTTTTTATTTCCTTTAGCGTTTTAATTAATAGCTTATATTTAATATCTTGTCTCGTAAGCTGTTCGCTGCCTTACATGGTGCTCCCACCAATACTTATCACAATTAAGCGATCTATTAATGCTGAAGCGATCTGTTGCTCTAAAACTTTTCGGTTCTGCGCTTTATAGCTACTGAGTATGCATAAAGGTGATCCTTAAAAGTCAATTGAACGATTTTTTTTGTGTCGCTTTTCTTTTGTATTTCAAATTTTACCGTTAAATGTATTGTTTATAATATAATATTTGGTTGTCATGTTGGAGAGTGTAAACTTCTAACGCACAGTGTGCAAACTTGTTGTATAAATATTTAAAATAAATAGTGACCACTGCGGTAAATAGATATCTCTCACCAATTTTGTTCAATAGCGGTTATGTCAGTGAGTTTCGACTTGTTTTTAGGCTACATGAAAAAAACCAAAAATTTCAAAAGGCATTACTATAGTTGACTCGATTTGGGTTGTCAGTTATAGATTATATAGACTTTTATCCAGCATTTACGGTTTGAGGCCAGTCTAGAACCCTTAGAAAAGGCTTAATTTTGACAATTTGAAAAAGCCGATTAAAAAAAAAACAAGACACTTAAGCGGATTGGCAACGATTTTTTTCACTACATTACCAATGTAATGTTTTTAGGACCCTGAAGTGCACTTCAAGCAAAAACAATGTCTTTTTTTTTTGTGATAATCCTAGACAGGCGGAATCGCTTAAGTACCACCCTAATATAAACGCATACATCTATGTTCCTATGAATATGTCGTTGCTATGGCTTTCGATTGCCACTGTGGCGTACACTCAATTTGTTCCCAATTTGTTTATTAATAGCGACATAAATAAATACAAGAAGAAATACTTGAACCAAGTTTTTGTTGCTAATTGTTTTTGTTGTTTTGCTTTGCTGCATTGCATAACTAATTTGTCTTTTGTATTGTTTACTCATCGCGGTTTAACTTTGTTGTTGTTTTTTCGTGCTTAGCGCGCGATTAATCTCTTCTGTTCGATCTGCTGTGATCTCTCTTGCACTAGTTTCCACACACATATATATATATATACTTGTATACACATGGATGTTTTTTCCCATGCTTTGACCGTCAATGTTTTCACCTTAATAACTACTAATTAGTTTTGTGTATTTGTATTCAGTTCGTGCCGGCGACGGCGCCACGCTGTTGGTGGCATTTCGGCAAACTTTTTATTGCAACGGTAACAAGTATAACAAACACATTCATACATGTAATAAAAATGCAATTTTTTTTTTGCACAAGCATGTGCTAATAAGCTCACTTCAGCGTTGTTCTTTCGCGCCATCACGCGTCTGATTTATTTACACTAGCGCGCCACATTTATTTTTTGGGGTTATTGCACCGTTGTTGCATAGCGCACGTTGCAACGATTTAGTTCTGATTTTTATATTATAGTTTATACCCCGAACAGTAGGGTAGAGCGAAAAAAAAATTTTTTCTTGCTTAGGCTGAGGATAAAATTTGTAGAAAAAAGGAAAATGTTTGGACAAAAAAAAAAATTCTTTTTATCATAATCTACAAATTTTACCCTCAGGCTAAGCAAAAAAAAAAAAGCAACATTTTTTTTGCTCCACCCTACCTACTTGGTACATTAGTTAGTACAAAGTTTGGAAACGCCAGACACCCTATAAAATGCAATACATGATCAGCGTGAAGAGCTATACGCAAAATAATCCCTCAGTTTCAGAGATATCGCACTGTCCATACGTTATATACATATAGCTGTCATACAAACTGAACGATCAAAATTAACTTTTAACATTATTACAATATCTGACCAGATATCTTCACAGCATAGCATAGATTATGTTCTAAGGCAACGCTCAAATATCTGAAGAAATTTTCCAGACCACTATTGCATATAGCTGTCATACAAACTGAACGCTCAAAATCAAGTTCTTGTATGGAAAACTGTTTTATTTGTGAAGGGTATTGTTGCATCGGTGCAACCGAAGTCAACGTTTGTTCTTGTTTTTTATATTTTGGTCTTGCTGGAATACACTTTAATTACCTAATTTACTCGCATTTATTAGACGCTTGTTAATTTGCGCTCAGCGACAGCAGCTTGCAACAAAATTTTACCCAACTCATATTGCCAAAGTTGAACTTCGTGCTTTCGTGCTGTTGCAACAAACCACCGCAATATACCGCAAAGGTTTCTATTCTATGTAGTACATTATTTATTGTTTCATTAGTTTAGCCACAAATAGCAACGTTGTGTTGCATGTGGCAAGTGCAACTATCACAACTGTTACGCTTTTGAGTAAGTGCTTTGCATTTGCTTACATACTGCTTGTGGCGTACGTTTTGTGGCGCCACCGCATCACGCTTTTGCTACAATTAAGTTGCCACTTCCTCTGCCTGGCGCTGCGCGACACTTCGATTCCATTCAGTTGAGTTGAGTTCATGTGCTCTGGTGCTCCGCTGACATTCACGTTTTATGCAAACATTTTCATTCATTCACTCACTTCGCCATTCCACTTCCATTCCACTTATTGACATTTGTCACGTTTTGCAAAAAGCACTGCTTCGCTTTCTGTATTGATTTGTTTTTGGTTGTTACTGTAATTGTATCGTTCAATTCTTCGATTTGCTTCGATTTGATTTGAATTTCCATTTTAATTCGTTTATTAGCACTTTTTTTTTGTCAGGGAATGGAGGTACATTCTCGACAAATGTCACAGCTGTCAAATGTAGCGGTAAGTGGAGCTCTCAAGGCATGAGCGATGACGCCGACGTTGTAGGGTGAGGTTGTAGACAGTTTAAAAAGGAGTGTGTTATAATTAAGTCATGTTTTATTTCTGATGTATTTTTCGAATGTCAGGTTAGGTTATTTGTTTTTAGAAAAGCTGACTCAAATCCAATCCATTTCAACCTGAAAAATGTTTATGAAAATTAGATTAAGTAGAAGAAATCCTGGTCAAGATACTTTGTTATACTTTAAACAATTGCTGACTTAGTTTTTCTCTAAAGTTCTCGCATATTTCTTATCCAATGTAGCTTAAGAAAGTCTGTGTTTATATCTGAAGTTCCAAAAAAAAAATAGAAAAAATTTTCGGCAGATTTCCTTTTTTAAAATATATAACATGTTTCGAGTAGACTTTGAATTGTTAACCGTTAAAAAACTCTTAAAAGGATCTTAAAAGCTCTTTCTGAAGCTCTTCTAAATTCCAGTAGTATTTCTTCAAATTCAAATTGTTATGTATGATTGTTCTATACTTTTCGGGTGGTAAGCCAAAGGTCCAGTGAATTTGTTCTTAGTAAATTTGCTCTTAGTGGCGTAAGTGGCCTTAGTGTTTTCTAAATCTCTATAGGTTACTCATAACCCCTTATTTTTTTCTGCTTCTATTTTGTTCAAAACAATTTTTTGTTCCACCGATGTGTGACTGCTTTTAAATAATTTAAAATTTTCCCAAAATCGTTCAAATATTAAATATTACATACGTTTATCACTCCCCTAAAGTTCCGTCGGTATCTGATTTATTTTCAATAATATTATTTAAAAATCATACATTTCTCCCTTATTCGTTAAAAAAATAAATACCTAGGTATATTATTCATAGATTCTAGATAAATCTAAAAATTATATTTATGATTTCATTCTGCTATAGTGTATATACATTGGCTATACGGTAGAAAACATTTTCTTCTTCATTCTTGATAGGTGGCGCTGTGGACTATATTTTTCTAAAAGTGGTATTTATGGGGCGACATACCATAAATTGGAGAAAAAGTATAACGTGAAGGTAAAAATTACTTTTGAAATTGACCAGTAAGTCATGTTGGTCTAATAAATGCGAAAAGAAAAATTTTGCCTTATGATTGACTGGATAGGTGGCGCTGTAGTTCAGATTTCTCTAAATCTCTTATTTATAGGACGATTTATGTTAAGTTCGAAGGAAATGCAGGAAGGTAAAATATTTCTTTTGAAATTGCCTGATAAAGATATGGTAGGTATAATACAGATAACCAATGGGAAAGTAAACCAAGAACTCAGTCAGAACAATCGTATAACAGAATTAAATTACTAGGTATGCCATTTGGTGTTGGAAACTCTTCTAATTTTCGAAGAAGTTCGTACAGGTGTTTTGATAACAAAATATTCTTATTTTATTCATATTTTTACATATTAGTAGTTTTACGGTTTCATTACGTTTTATTTTGTTATTATAATATTATAAACGGTTACTTCTTTCCCATCAATAATACTCTTTCGGAATTCTTAATCAACATTTCGCAAAAATGTATTCATATTTCGTGGTTATTATTGCTGTATTTTGACATTTAACCTTTTTCGCATGTTGATTTCATGTCGACTCATTTCGTGACAACATCAGTGGGTTGATTGTTGTTGTGCTACACAGAGTTCTTGCGACAGGTTGACGTTGGTTTTATGTTTTTCAGAAACAATTATGATTTATGCGGCACGTTTATTATTCGCTTGTAACGCTACCAGTTTTTAATGTATTTTTGAAAAGTCCACTTGTCGATTAAATGTTTCGTTTTTGTCACGGCGGCTGCCACAAATATGCGTTTGCAGCGTGTAATTATCGGCTGCTGCGTAGAGCATTTGCATTAAACAAGCATAAATAAATGTTTTTGTTGTTTTTCTTGAGTATTCGTGGGCAGCGCTTGATTTGCCGACTGTCCCCAAAACACATACTTATTAATGGAAATTATTTAGCGTTTTCGAAATGATTTATTTCATAGTGCTTTAGCTAAAAATTATCTGCGTGGTTGCTGTTGTGTACGGTATTTGACAGTTTGTTGTAATTATTTTTGACATTTTGGAATTAATTCGTTATTTTTGTATACTAATTTTTCAACTTGCGTATTTAATTTTTGTATTGTATAAAAAGCGTCAGAGTAGTGTTTGAAAATCAATTTCGAGTTATTAGTTTTATTCAAGTAACACTTTGGTGTGAAAATTATTGAAAAGTTTTAAGAGTAAAAAGCGCTCGTATAATCTGTTATTTGTGAATCCTTCTTCAAATATGCTACATTGTCTCAAAAAGTTTGCTTTTATTTATTGATAATTATTTACCGAAACCGAAAAATAAGAAAACCAAGTCCGTAATTATTTACATTTACTATCTAAAATTACAAATATTATTCTATAGTAAAGATTTCAAACATTATGGCAACTTATTTAACTATTTGTTTTTCTCACCAATCTGCAAAATCGTTTACATTTTTTTTAGCTTTTTTTTCTATACCCAAGTCACTTCATACCGCTACACAGACAGTGTTGACATAATTCGGGGCCCACTAGTTCTAACAACTGTTTTCGCATACGCAAGTGTTGTATTTGTGCTTGTCACTTGTCGCTTGGCGCATGTTATCCGCAAAACTCTTGTTTACCGCACTTTTAATGACTGTTTACTTCACGTTTTTCAAGGTCAAAGTCAGCTGGTGGAACCGTTGACCATAAATTCGCGCTCAGCAGTAGGCAGCAGTCTATGCCCAAGCGCCGAAATTGTTTTTGTTGTAATTATTTAATTTTTTCTTGTTGTATAATTACTACTTATATCGTGTTCACTTACAAATTTTGCTTAGTTATTTTGGTCTCTTATTCCAAGCATACTGACGTCTATAGTCTTTAAATTTATTTTTGATAATCACAAGCGCAACTTTAATTTAAGCTTGTGCTAATAAATCTGTATTTAATTTTCATATTTTTGTTTTTGAATTCTAAAGCTTTTTCCGCTGTTTTGTCTTAATTGGCTGTATACAATTTGTTTGATGAGGTTATTTCTGTTTTCGTTTCTTTTTGTTTTTGGACATAGGCATAATTGCTTGTTCGTAGGTGTTTTGGTTCCATATTCGTTTTCATATGTTGCTTTGGCTTACGTTGTTGTTATCAAAGTGTTACAGTAATAAGGGCAACAGTATCATTAATACACCACGTTTTATTGCTTTTGCTTTTTCCTTCTGTTTAGCTTCTTCCGTCTTGAAGCCTCTACCGAAATTATGCGTAAGCTCGTTTCGTCTCTTCTTTGATATGTATATTATAATTTACTTCATTTCTGAATTGTCAAAAAAGTTCAAGGTAACTGATCATAAAAAAAAGTTGAAGTTGAAAACAATACCTACAACAACTATGAATAAATGTATTACTACCTTCAAGAAATTAGTGAGGGGAGTTGTTTCTTTAATGACGTCTTAAAAACCTACAACAAAAAAAGCTCTCAAAAATTACTCACTTGAGTATGAGTTATACTCACATATACTTCTTGTGAGTCATTAATGGTATTAATTATTTTTACATTCAAAACTATACTGTGCTCTTCAACAGTGTCTTATTCCTTCATTTTTACGTCTACGTTAAATTAAATATATACATATAAAAAAATTTGATAAATGGATTGTGATTTGAATTCGTGATTTTATAGTTTATTGACTTTTGTTGAATGTGAAAATATTATTAATAAGCTCAGTGGTGTATTCATCTGAAATGTTACTCGTCCAAAAATAATTGATTTTAGTTTTCGTTTATTATTTCACTCAAAATTTTGTTTTTATAAAAAATGAAATTTTATTACAAAATTACTCAAAATCATTACAAAAAAGATCTTCTTTTCAAAAGAAAAAACAAAATTGCCTGTGTTTAATTTTTGTAAATTTTTTTTTATTTGTATTATTTATTTAGTTATTCCCTTTTTTTCAAATTTCTATAACTATTGGAAACGTCACATTACACTCATCAAAACTCTTTTATCTATTCACATTTCCTACTACACATACATAAACGTCCATATTGCTCGCGACTGTTAAAATTATATTCAATGCCAAGGTTAAATGACATGAAAATTAATTTCGTAATATTTTTTTCATTTTACTTTGCTATTACATTTTGGCAGCGCGCTTTGTTGCTTGGTGTTTTTTTGTCGTTTATTTTTTGTTTGTTTTGCCTGCCTTCGTTCTCACCATGAACTGATAACTAAATTTGCTTGGAAATTATTCAACACCTCAGCGGGTAGCGGCGCGATTCTTGCACATTTTTTTAATTTTAAGTCGCTTATTATGTGTGTGTTTTTTTCGTTTTTTTTTTTTTGTTTAATTGTCGTTTTTTATTTTCACCACTTTATCTCTTTGCGCTTAAATTTACTTGACGGTTTGTTGTGTCACGCTCTTTTGCGCACATTATTTATTTGTTTAACTTTTTTCTCCAATTTGTTGTTGTTATTTTTTATTTAGCACGTTTAAAGTTTAAATTTTTTCTGGTTTATTTTTTTGTTTACCGAAATTTTTGCACATTTATTTTTTCACCGTTTACATTAGCCCACTCACCACTCGCTCATGAATGCATACAATATATACACATATGTAATATATAAGTAGTATATATCTGAGTAAAAATGTTATGCAGGTATATACAACCCATTAAATAATATGTTGTATAATTCTCTTTCGCTTGTGGGCCCGTCGTTCTTAGAAATAAATTTACGATATTTTTCATAATTTTGGTTTCATATACATATGTATTTGCTACAAAATATCTTGAGAAAAATATTTGTTTGAATTTTTTTTTCGTTATAAAAACGAAAACTCACGCTTGTATAGTAAAATTCTATTTATTTCCTCATCATTCCAATGGTTACTTGAAATCGCGAGTAAAGAGGAAGTGTGGTAAAATTTCATCTTAACCCATGCAAATCGTCTATAAAAAATTGTGATTAAAGCGTAAATGTTGAATGTTAATAAACCAAAAAGTAAACAAAAATTAGCGTGTGACTAAATTATGAGCGCTAACAAAGCAGCAATGTTTTTTTAATTTATTTTTGTTTCGGTTCTCAATTAAAAACTGGTTGCCGTTACCGCCTTGGGAATGTCTCCCTTCGACGCGTTGCCTGTTTATTTTAAGAAGCTGGCACTAATTTTAGAAAGTAAAAAAGTGAGGAGAATATAAAAAATGTATTTCCGTTTTATTGTTGTTTATTTATTTTCATTCTCCTGTTTGATGTTGACATTACGAAATAGAGTCATATAAAAAGCTTGTTTTTTAATAGCAGTCATCGTTTATTGAAATATTTTCAATATTTACGCATATTTAATAATTCGTTATTTGTCTTTACAGTTTAACATCTGGCTGCAATGGCATCTTTTCGCGACGCTTGGACTTTTCATCATTCAATTTGTTGCCGAAGACACGCTTGAACTCCTATCAAGTTAAGGTAAGTTTATGTGAAGAGCATCACAAATCAAAATTGTATTCTTATACTAGTTTTCTATGATTAGCCAAATTTTTGGAAATAGCAAATCGAGCAAGGAAGTGGTATAAGTCAAATAAACTGGCATAATCGCGTAAAAATAGATAGATATAGTAAGCGTTTATACCACTTTAATGAGCTTTTCACTTACACTCTTGTATTTAATTCATCTGGGAATCATTTTTTGCTGTGCATAAATTTTTTTGACAATAGTTGGGTCATAAATAGCGAGCTGTGAATCGAATACGGTCACTAGTATATTATATGTATGTACATACATAGGTATGTGATCTGAAAAGTTTTCTGCTTTCCCAAAAGTAATGAAAGATCGCAAAAGTATATACGTACATATATACAAATATAAATCCTTAAATTTTTTGTTTTGAAATAAACAAATATTTAGAATTTGTTTGACCACTTCTCTAGTGAGTGCGTGGAATTTCCTTACATACAGCATTTACAGCAACTTATTCACATTTACATAAAAGTATATACATACATACATACATCCACATATATTCAGTTTGTTAAAATTCATAATCAACTGTCAGCAATAACTTCCTATGCAGCTCTCTAACTCTACTTAATTCTTAGAAAAATATCTAGATGTTTATTTATTTTTATTATTTTACATTAAATTACACTTACATATGTATGTATGCACAGTTCTGATAAAAATTAAAAATATAATATATATATATATATAAGTTGTAATAATCACACTCAGAATGCGTTTGACTATATTTCCTTTTTTGAATTTTTCGAACAAATCTTTGAAGTTTTTTTAGACATACAAAGTATTAAATAAGTAGCCTATTACTGCTTTTTTGCTTTGCCCGACTGTATCTGCACTCCATATGATGTTTATTATTATTGCCACTTCTGTTTATAACTCAAAACTAGAACACTCAGCAGCTTTCCATTACTCGGAACGATTCTCGCAAAACTATTGTTGGTTTCATTCATATTTTTTGCAGCTGCTAGAAATTCTGGGAATTGTTTTCCTTTGTAAAATTATAGCAATTTGAAATATTTGTTTACTACAATTTGAGTAAGCTTAAAGCTCAGCTTCAGGAATTTTTGTTTATTTGCTGCATTGGATATTTGTTTGTGATTTATATTAAGACAGAAGGTATTTCATTTACTTTGTTGTATAATATATTATTTTATATTGTAGAAAGTTATTGAAATTTAATGCTTTCTACTACCCTCATTTTGTTATTCCACTTCAGAATCACTTATAATACTTTTACATATTGTATGATCAATTGGCAAATTGTTTTTACTTTTGTTCAAGTCTCCTTGAATTTCGTATGTGCAACTTGATGTTGCATTTCAAATGTCGCCGTTGAGAGTGGGTGCAAAATAAGATGGAGTCAGTGGCTAAACCGTAACTGCAACAATGCACGAAAACTTAGTTACCTTTAGTTTTTTGTTCCCCAACTTTCATTGTCTGCCACGTTAGTTATCGATGTTAAACCGATGACGGGCCAACCGCATTGGAATAAAACAACAGTTATGACTTGCAGGATATTCTTTGAAATCATTGAATAGTTGAGAATGACAATGGAAACGCTCACTTTTATGTTATTAACCAAGCAAACAGTTTCACAGTTAGTGAAGATATTTTTGCTAATTTCAGGAAAAAAAAATATATAAAAATAAATTTTATTAAAAAATAAACAAAAATTAATAAAACAAAATGACATAAAAATAAATAAAATAAGAAAAATTAAAATTAAAATAAATACAATAAGAAAAATTAAAATAAAATAAGAAAAATTAAAATAAAAAATAAAATTAAAAAAAACTAAGAATAAAATTTAAAAAGAAATACAAATAAAAAGATATAAAAAAAAAATAACATAAAGAAAAATAAAATGAAAACATAATATATAAAAATGTATCTACATATGTTGTATATACATATGTTTATTTAAAAAATTTTGTTAAAAAAATAATTAAAATTAAAAATTAAAAAATTAAATAAGATAAAAAATTAAAATTAGATATTTAAAAAATCTTAAAGCAAAAAACAAAAAACTTAATTAAAATTAAATAAATTCAAAAATAGTAAATTCATAATATTTCATTAAACATATATATTATATTTTATTTGAAATTACAATTTAAATATTCTGAAAGAAACATAAACCAAATGATAGTAAACTCTGTACTCCGCTTCACAATCAACATTTATTTTCAATAGTTCAATCTTTTGCGCTTACTTGGCTATTCGATTCCCTACGCAGCTAACCATAGCACCTGACATAAAAACAAATCAATTTAGCAAAATTCACAAAAAAATATTTACATACATACATATGTAGCTTTTGCGCCAAAATGTATGCTTTCAAATAATACATTTACATCGCTTCACTCTCTTTCTAGTCAATGCACAATGTGATTTGCGCGCCAATACTTATTGTTGTTCTTGTTTTTATATATTTATTTACGCTTAGACGAAAGCCACTAGCGGTATTACTGTTGCAACATGAAAATAGCTGCATATAGTTTTGGTGGCAGCAGCTTGTCTTGCCACCCGTCCCTTACTCTCCCGGCAAGCTTTGCAAATTGTATTGAATTTTTACATATTTAATTCGTTTCGAAATGCATACAATTTCAATTCGCAGTCAAAATAATATAAAATATGCGCAATAGAATAAATGTGCTGGGGCTGCTGCTGCGGCTGCAACAGAAGAGCGAAGTAATTCGAAAGTGCTGATCTGCTGCAGCGGTACGCCGTACGAGTGATTTCTGGCAGAGCAGTACATATGTATGTATGTGTACGTCAGTAAGTGAGCAGTTGCCTAGGGAATGGCTCGCAACTCCAGCTAGTTGCTGCTAACCTGGCTTGTGCCTTTCGTTCTAACGCTGCAATCTCTTCTGCCGCTCTTGACTGTCTGGCGGATTGCCTTTGATGCGGCATTGATATTTCCTTTTTTCCCTCCCTTTTTTTCTATTTTCCAAAGTATATTGTTTTCTAGCTGCCTTTCACCTCGCTCGCTTTCGTTGCTGAACTCTTCCGCTTCCCATTGCTAAAAGTTCGCTGTGTCGGCATTATCCTCTAATAGTGAGAATACATTTCGTGCTTATTAAACTTTTTTTCGCTTGCATATTCGGTGGTTCGATTGTGCAGCAGTTCAGGAATATGCTTCTTTGTTTTTTTTTTTTGTTTTTATATATTTTTTCTTCCCTTTCCTTTGCAATTGCAGCGCATTAAGTTATTACAATATTATTTTGAATCGTCGTTATTTCGCTCACTCCGAATGCTTTCGTCCAGCAAACTTTGTGAATGCGAAATCCTCTACAACTGCGGAAAAAATATGCGAAAAAGTTATTTGCTTATTGAAATTCCTCGGAGAGTAGAACTTTGATTAGTTTTATGCATTCGAGTATTAAATGTTTTTTCTTGCAATGGCAGACATATTTCGTATCTTTTTGACTTTACTTTCATATTTAGCTGCTATTTATATAATATAAACTCTTTGTCGTTTAAATATAGAATTAAAAGCCAAATAAGCGCCATATGTCCGGTACGTCGTACACCAGGCGCACTCGCTCTTTGACTCTTTCCCGTTACACTTCTTTTATTTCGTCTCTGCTTTCCTCCTTATTTACCTAATTAGCATTTTTGTAAACACCTTCTGCTTAGCATGTTGAAACCCAATTAGTAGCAGTAAGTCAGCTTCATGTGTTCATCATTATTAATCCCTTTTAAATTTGCTTTTCGTGAGCATTTTTCTGCCACTTAATTTTCACTAACCAAATTTTGAAACCCCGACTTCAACCCTTTTGACATCTAAGCTGTTGATTTTGTCTGTTTTTTGTTTTTTTTTTTATTTGTACACTTTTTACTGCGCATTTCCTTTGGCAACATCATCTGTCAACATTTTTCCTGTTTTTGGTTCGTTTATTATTTTTTTTACAGAAGTTCATCATCACTAAGGGTTAAGGGTGGGGTAATTCTTTGGTAATAATTAGTAAAGCAGTATATCATCTTATCTGTAATATTTGCGTTGGAAAAATCCATCACATGTTTGCAGAAATGATTAATTATTCGTATCTAATTTATTTGTGTTCTTTACCCTTATATGATACTCGCTCTTGTTATGCTAAATACTTTTTTATGTGTTTTGAAATTTGTCTACTTCTTCCTTGTTTAGCTCCTGATTTCATAATGAACTTCTCAATCGTCCTCACTTGTTGCTCATGACTAATGGTCTAACCACTTTTTTCAGAGATGTTTCCTATTAAATAAGTTTTTCAAAACGTTTTGAAGTTTTGTTATGCACAAGTTAGGCTCTCATACATTTTTTTTGTTTTACCGATTTTTGGCGACGCAAAATAATCAGATGTGTTTTTAGCCCCACGTAGAAAATGTATTAAATACAAGTTTGTTTTAAAGTTCTATGATTACTTTAACCCAGTGTGAGAACCTATGGACCATGGATACCGAAAAGCGTATGAAATTTTGAATCACTGCGTTTCAGCGCCATTTATATTTTATCTCTCTCCAAATAGCCCAAATTTGCTCGACGTGTTTTCGCTCAAAACTGTCAGTTAAACTTTTAAGCTACTGTCAACTTTGGTGAGTGACACCTGAGATTCATTGTGGCATAGCTTTCGTTTTGTTGAGGTACCATTGAAAAGCTTAGTTGTTTTGCATCTGCAGATAACTATTGTCCCACAAAATATAATTATAATTTTTAAGAGCAACTTCTGAAAAGTTGCCACGCAAAAGTTAAGGTCTTTAAATGTCTATTGTCGTTTGGGAAGGTAATGACTCAGATAAAAAAATCAATAATTTTTAACAAAAATTGCTGAAAATAAAATGCTGTCAGTTTTCCAAAAAAAATACTCCCAATATTGGCACTTGAACTCTACTCTATAACTGGAATATGTATCTAAAATACCCCTTATAAAGTCTCTGGGTCTCGATTTCTACCACTGACAGATCTGCT